AACTAGTAAACATACAAATTCCAGCTTTTTTCCTTGCAAGATATTCAAGTTTCCAGGTTTTTTTTTTTTCGGTTATGAAAGCTTCTAAACAAAAATTATGCAAATTACCTATACTAAGTATTTGGTTTGCAACAACAACAAAAAAAGAGGTAATTATTAGTTTACTTTTAGTCTTCTAAAGTCATGCTAATGAAAACACTAATCAAAGATTGCAGTCACTTACATTTTCAGTCCTTGCCTGTTGTAGGTGGATTTCATTGAGCAATAAGATTCATAACTTTATCATGATGCAACGTCTATAGGGCTGAATTCATTCAGTTGCTAATGAAATGTGATTTGGGGACTCTCTTGCTCCAGCTGGGTGATAATTAGGGCTTATCACAGATAGGTCGAGGAAAAGGCTGGGAAATACTTAAGCTTGTTTTGCAGTTACTTTGAGCTCTCAGGAAAGGAGTGATTCTTCTACAGTATCAGCCTGAAATTTTCTGCCTATACAAGAGAGGTAATGATAAGGGGTTTTAACTTATTTGCAGATGATATGGCTATATGAAGCCTGACAAAAGACTACTTAAATCTTTCTGGTTTAATGCCTTTTAAACTGTGAGATAGGTACTGTGCCTTCTCAGGTAAGATGTTAATTAAGCAACTGGCTTCAGAGAAACCTTGCAGAACTTGCTCTATATGATGCCTGTTAACTTGAAATTCTGCTTTTGATAGTTGCCTGCCAGCGCCGCAAGTGACTCTGTGTAGGTTTCCCAAAGCAAAAAGAGGATCCTAAAGGTAGTTCTTGTTTATGGGGAAAGCAAGGCATTGCATTCTTCTCTTCTTCCTGAAGACTATAATGGCTCCATATTAGCTATAAGGAGGAGGGCCTCTTGGGCATCTAAGTTACTGAATGATCCTAAAAATAATCAATGTAATATGAGGGTAGGAGCTACCTTCTTAAAAATAAGTTCTTTAAAAGCAGCTAAAGGTAGCAGCTAGACTGTAACTTGTAAGATATCTTATCCATACATGCTATCAGCTGGAAAAAAAAAAGAAAAAAATCTACATGAGTAGCAAAATACACTGTAGCTCAGCTGTGGAGCAGATTCCTGTTTAAAGCCCTTCTCTCTCTGCAGGGAGCTGCTCCTCCTCCTCCTTGTTTTCTTGGTAAGGGTGGTCTCAGGCTCCTCTTGAAGGAGAACTGCTGCCTGGGAACTGAAAACTACAGGACAGCTTTTAAAAATCAGCAGTTGTCCTGAATTGCAAGACTTCAGATTTAGCGATTAGAAGATGGAGAGGTTTTTCAAAGTGGACTGGAGAAATACAGCCTCGAATATACCAAAGCACTGTAGAGAAAGCTTCCCTGATCTTGATTTTATGTAGTTTTTACTATAAAATACATATGGTTTGGTTTTTTTGCAACTTAAAGAAACACTTCTTGAGGGGTTTGTGTCTTCCATGAATGTTCTTTATTCAGGGGGAATTCAGCCATTTTTGTAAAAGAAAGCTATTTCTTTTTATATTGAACCAAAGTCTTGCATATCTAAATTTCCACTGCAAATGGACAGTGGGTTCTATGGATTTGTCCTTGAAAAAAGCTTCTCACTCATCTCCCAGGATATATTAATGATATTTACACTATGTGTTTATTTAGGGGGGTGGGTGGTGTCTGTTGTGTGGGTGTGGTCGTTTTGTTGTGGGTGGGGTTTTGGTTTGGGGTTTTTTTTCCTTTCCCTGAATAGTTTACATGGTTGTAAGACTCTGGATTTGAAGAGCTTCTAACATCAAGGCACTCAAAGCACTTCAGCACAGTTCAGACTTCCTACCACTTCAGAGTATTGCTTGCTTTAGAGATCCAAGTACACAATGCAAGTCTGGGATAAGGAGTCATCCAGAGAATTGATAGGTCAGCAAACATCAAGCTTACAGTTCAGGTCCTACTTCTTCCTTAATGATGTTATCTACTTACGATGTTCCCTTTGAAATTACTTCATTCTGTATTTGACTTAGGTTAAGAAAAAACAGTCGTGAGACCTGCTCCTAATACAATCCTTCATGTGTCAGGGTTCTGCCCTCGTTAGCCAAGGACTAGATGCAGATGCAGTTTTGTTCTTTTTTTTAATAGTTTTATATGTAAAACTAACCCACGCAGAGGGCACCTCAGCCCTTTCCGAGATGCTAGCCCAGGCGAATGCACACAACTGGTACCGTATGCAATACAGATGCTGGGGCGGCACTTAGCGTTCCTCAGTGGGGCTGGACCAGCCTGCAGAAATCCACGACGGCTGCTTCCCTCTGGGCCTGTTCTGGAGGCTGCAATGCCTCTGTTCTGTGGGCTATTTGCCCATGGTGTAGAAGGACAAGGCTCGGTGCTCTCCTGAGACTGATAGCCATGCTCCTGAACTCTGGGCCTGGCTGAGGACACTGTCCGTCCTTCCTTCCTCCTG